TTGTAAAGACTTGCTTTGGTCAGTATGTTTTGTTCTAGGTTGGAGTGTGGGTGTATGTATGTCAGAAATACGTGAATTAAGTCATTTAAGTAGGGTGTAGTAACATGTATGCAGTCGTTCAAAGGGTTGTTGAGGCGGGGAGAATTTGCTTTGCCTAGTTTGGTGATGGGTTTGAGGAGCGCCGCCCCTGGCGTGACTGACAGAATTGCCATGCCTACAGCTATACTGCCAGTTTCTGTACGTCGGTATCTGTCCGGGTTTGGTTTTCGTCTCCACAAACATACAACAGTCGGTGTCGCTTCGTTCTATGTAATTGTAAATTAGATGTTTTTTGTGATTGAGTCCGTTGATGTTGGCATATATCAGTTTCAAGTTGAAGGTCCAGTGTTAGTAATTGTCTGTCTCAGTTGATCGAATGGTTCTGTCGGGGAGCTTCTATCGGGTGATAGCATATCTATCATTAATATGTACATGTGGTTTCCGAAGAAAACCATGCAGACCATGCGTTAGAAGTTTTTCCTTTTGCAGTTGAAGTTGTATGCGACTTAGTCCCGAAAACATAAAAAACTGAAGAAAACGAATATGTCTGTTCTTCAACTGATATTTAAAGTTTGTCGGATCAAATCGCTTATAACTTCAGTCACTTCCGGACTTTCTAACGCTCCAAATGGCCGTATTAAGAACAGACATCTTCTCTTCCTTACGGTTTTGGAGAACCTTCACTTGGGGACTTTTGAAAGCTTCGATGAACAAAAAAGCGCGGTTCGAATGGTTGAAGTTTAAAATTTAAAAGTTTGTCGGATAAAATCGCATGTAGCTTTATTCACGTCTATACTTTTGAAAGTTTCGGCATGTCATTTGAAGAATAATCATCTTCTTTTGCTTCAGTTTTTTGTATAACATGACATCGATGAACAAAAGAGCTCGATCCGAGATCAGGATGATTAACATTTGAAATTTCAAAGTTTACCGGAGAAATTGACTTTGGGAATTTCTGAAGCACCAAAATATCATTTCAAATATAGAGATCTTCTCTTTCTTCCGTTTTTGAAGAATCTTAAGTCCATGAACAAAAAGCGGGGTTTAAGTTTAAAATCTAAAAGTTTGCCGGAGAAAATCTCTTGTAACTTCATTCACTAGTGGACTTTCAAAGGCTTTGGCATGTCATTTGAAGAACAATCATCTTCTTTTGCTTCGGGTTTTGTAAAATCTGTAGTCGATGAACAAAAGAGCTCCATCCGAGCTAAAGGGTAGTTGATATTTGAAATTTGACAGTTTGCAGGAGAAATTGACTTTTTCCAAAGCTTGAAAAACTAATTTAAAACACAGACATATTCTGTTTCTTCCGTTTCTAGAGAATCTTAAATCAATGAACAAGAGAGTGGTTTGCCGGATAAAATTGCATACAGCGTCATTAACGCAGATACTTTCTTAAGCTTTAGAGGGTTTAGAAGCTCCAGAGAAAAACTCCAATCGTCATGAAATTCTCACGAAACGTCGATAAACACATTTCCTACTGCGGTATCAACCAAGCAACTTCGTTTTGCAAGATATTTGGTCAAAACTTCATTGACTGAGAATGTCTAAAGCACCAAAATATGATTTGAAACATAGACTTGTTCTCTTTCTTCCGTTTTTGGAGAATCTTAAGTCCATGAACAAAAAGCGCGGTTTAAGTTAAACAATGGTTAAAGTTTAAAATTTAAAAGTTTGTCGGAGAAAATCGCTTGCAGCTTCATTCACTTGTGGACTTTCGAAGGCTTCGGCATGTCATTTAAAGAACAATCATCTTCTTTTGCTTCAGTTTTTGTAAAATCTGTAGTCGATGAACAAAAGAGCTCGATCCGAGCTCAAGTGTAATTAACATTTGGAATTTTAAAGTTTGATGGAGAAATTGACTTGTTAATTCATTGCCTTTGGGAATTTCTGAAGCTTAAAAATCTCATTTAAAGCATTGAGATCTTCTCTTTCTTTTGTTTTTGGAGAATCTTCAGTCGATGAACAAAAAAGAGCGGTTCGAATTAGTGAATAGATGGTAGTTTGAAATTTAAAAGTTTGTCGGATAAAATCGCTTGTAGCTTCATTCACTTGAGGACTTTCGAAATCTTCGGGCAGCCATTTAAAGAATAACAATCTTCTTTTGCTTCAGTTTTTGCAAAATCTGGTATCGATGAACAAAGGAGCTGGATCCGAGCTAAGGTGTGATGAACATTTAAAATTTTAAAATTTGCCAAATAAATTGACTTGTAACTTCATTGTTTTTGGGAATTTCTAAAGCTTCAAAATCGCATTTGGAACATAGAGATCTTCACTTTCTTCCGTTTTTGGAGACTCTTAAGTCGATGAACAAAAAAGCGCGGTTCGAATTAATGAATGGTTGAAGTTTGAAATTTAAAAGTTTGTCGGATAAAATCGCTTGTAGCTTCATTCACTTGGGGACTTTCAAAATCTTCGGGCAGCCATTTAAAGAATAGTAATCTCCTTTTGCTTCAGTTTTTTGTATAATCTAACATCGATGAAGAAAAGAGCTCGATTCGAGCTAAGGTATGATTAACATTTGAAATTTCAAAGTTTGTAGGAGAAATTAACTTTTTCAAAAGCTTCAAAAACTCATTTAAAACACAGACATATTCTGTTTTTTCCGTTTCTAGAGAATCTTATATCAATGAAGAAGAGAGTGGTTTTCCGGATAAAATCGCATACAGCGTCATTAACGCAGATACTTTCTTAAGCTTTAGAGGGTTTAGAAGCTCCAGAGAAAAACTCCAATCGTCATGAAACTCTCACGAAACGTCGAGAAACACATTTCCTACTGCGGTATCAACCAAGCAACTTCGTTTTGCAAGATATTTGGTCAAAATTAATGTCTGCAAATGGCATACGATTAGAAAACGACATTTGGAAAAATTCGTCAAAATTCGTAAACTCCGCTCATCGCAATTAAACTTTCACAAAACATGACATAAGCAGCCGTTATTCATCGATCTATAAGCAAACTTACTACCATAACAGATTTTAGAGCAATCAATTTTTGAAAATCTGTCTTCAAAATTTGCGGCTTAAAACAGACCAGTTGGAAACGGCATTTGCAAAAGCTGATCAAATTTTTGAAAACCTCGAATAACCCTGACACTCGTAACAAAACGTAAAGCAACACATTTACTATGCAACTTCTTCATAAAGAAGGTCTCAGCAAATTTAATTTTTGAAATTTAGTCTGCAAAATCTGTACCTCCAGACAGACGACTTACAAGCTTTAGTTTAAAAAATTTGTCGAAATTCGCCAAACACTCACTTCGTAATACAATTTCAAAGGACGTGAAGACTGGCAAGCTCGATTTAATTATCTAAAAAGCAACTCCATACGTTGGCACGGATAAAAGGTGTTAATTTTGGAAAGCCCAACCGCAAAATGTGCTGCTTCAACACGCATTTCACCATTTCGAAACGGTATTTTCGAAAATTCGTGAAAAATTCCCCTCCCCCCCGGGCAAGAATATCCTTGAGGATGAAACCCTCTCCAAACAGAAAGCAAGAAATAGTCGATTAAACCAATTATAAAATAACTGTCTATTGCGCCTAAGCGCGAATTGTTTAAGATGCTGAGTCTAAAAGACTTTGCATTGTAAACGAGGTTCGTTCTTATCAAAAGAATTTTTTAGACCAGCTTCTGCGATTTTCTGCTTGTCGTTTTTAGAAAATAAACACTAGCATGTAGGTGAACTGAATTACTTACTGAATACAAACTTCACTCAACCGTTGTCCGTTCAACAACCGTTGTCTGCTCCTCCTCTCAATTATTAAATTGGACACAAAAGTTTCCTTTAAGTGATACTCAAAGTGATTATTCAACATCAACTACGAGTTCATTTTTCATCTAGAAACCCTCAGATCTACGGCTGAGGG